CACCGGTTTCAACAACACTTAATAGACAACGGTTAAAAAACCGTTGTTGTTTCTAAAAAAGACAACGGTTATTAACCGTTGTCTATGTGCGTGACATACAACAACACCGGTTTCAACAACACTTAATAGACAACGGTTAAAAAACCGTTGTCGTTTCTAGAAAAGACAACGGTTATTAACCGTTGTCTATGTGCGTGACATACAACAACACCGGCTTCAACAACACTTAATAGACAACGGTTAAAAAACCGTTGTTGTTTCTAGAAAAGACAACGGTTATTAACCGTTGTCTATGTGCGTGACATACAACAACACCGGCTTCAACAACACTTAATAGACAACGGTTAAAAAACCGTTGTTGTTTCTAGAAAAGACAACGGTTATTAACCGTTGTCTATGTGCGTGACTTACAACAACACCGGCTTCAACAACACTTAATAGACAACGGTTAAAAAACTGTTGTTGTTTCTAGAAAAGACAACGGTTAAAAAACCGTTGTCTATGCGCGGGACTTACAACAACACCGGCTTCAACAATAGAAATTATACCCCTACGACAACGGTTATTAACCGTTGTCTATGTGCATTTTTCTTGTTGTGCTGTCACATATTGCCTAATTAATAATTCATCCATCTCCTCGTATCTTTTTCAGCCTGCCATTCTAGCTACTTTCTTTTGTGTACGTTTTTACCGTGACAAGAAAAACTTGTAACTACTATTAGAATGGGTGCATCGAATAAACTTAACTCGTGTATAATAATTTGAAAACCAAACGTAAGAGTTAAATTGTAATGGAAAAAAAATTTGTGTGACTACAACCCGCTATTCTAAATTTTTTTTTTTAAAAAAGTATTTATTAAAAATATTAATTAAAAAAATACTCTATTTGTCACATTTTATCTGTCATACTTACTATTCATTTGGTCAAACTAACTCTTTCTTCTTTGTCTATTTTCTTTAGTATTTTTTTACTCATTTTTAAATTTGATTTTTTGTGTTTAATAGTACTTTTACTGTGGTTTCTAAATATATAAATTTTGTATACTAACATTAAATTTAATATTATGAAATTTTAAATTAAAAATAACACCAGTCAAGCCTCGTTAACCGAATGAGACACATAAAATGAGGCGGAGAGAGTACTAATTTAAATAGTGTATTATATACCAGAATGATTAACCTTAAATTGTTCATCGTCAGCAATCTTTATTGGCATTGGAGAAAAATTGCACCGTAGTCGATTAAAGTATTAGACATTATTTGATTATCCTATGTTATATATTATTACAAATCTTTTTTGAAATTGATGAAATCTCTCGGAATAAACTAATTAAGCCACCATGAACGAGCAACAATTCTAGAAAATTAAAATATAATAAAAGTAATAAGATATAGCTAAGTACGTTATTGGTGACGTATTCCAAGCCAATACAATATTGCATATTTAATCCCGAAGAAAAGCTTTTCACATGCAAGTTATGAGCAGCATAGAGTGAAATCTGTGAATATTTGGACCGATTTATTTTATAAGTTATTTATTCTAAAAGGTCAACTGTAATTATATTGTTATTGGAAAAAAAAAAAAAAAGACCCAATTTAAAGCCGCCGGCCCGCCACCACTTCCAAGTTTTTTCTCAAGCACAATCATTCTTTTTAATTTTCCAAGTACAGAAAAGGACAAAAAATTAACTATTTGGCGGTTTTAATCTAAAATTAAATAAAATCCCAATGAAATGTTCTAAATTATTTATTTTAGGTCACAATTGTGTAAGACGGTATTAAGATGAGTCGAGTCAGTCAATATGCAAATGTAATATTAATTAGGAATAAAGTGTTTGTGACTTGTAAGGAAAAATGTAATACTTTTATATTTTGATGTAAAAGTATTACTTTTTTTTCATTAAAAGTATTATATTTTCCATTATAAGTCAGGTTGACAAGTGTTTGTTACTTATAAAAGAAAATGTAATAATGTAAAAGTACTATATATTTTTTATATAAGTAATAAACACTGTATTTCTGATTTAGTATTACATTTGTAAGTATATAAGTTTTACATTTCATCTTGACCCAATCTCGTTTCACACAAGTTTTTGTCTTTATTTTTTTGAATGACGAGAAAAATTCGCAACACTATCTAAGGGTGTGCGACGATAATTATGTTTGTGTGTCGGAAAAGGTAAATAACACTAAAAAAACCTTGTGCAACCTTGTGGTATGAGAATAATGCCCCCTCCCACCCAGTCATCCCTTTGAAGGCAAATAATTCATACTACTCCGTATAATATTAGTATATATACATCTTTTTATTTTTACTTTTAAGGCTCAAGTTTGATTCATTTGGCTCAAATTAAGTTCAAGATAGAATAGAGCCAATGGAGGCATGTGGTCCAATGGTACCCGGGTTGGACTTTCACTTGGAAGGTTGTGAGTTTGAACCTCAATGGAGGCATTATTAGCTCTTTGTGTTTCAGTAGGTTGAGAAAGTATATGAACAGATACTACAATGTAATAGAGCTAGTAGCATTCAAAAAAAAAAAAAAAGTTCAAGATAGAATTATATAGGGAAGGGATTAGGTGTGTAGGGAGGGTTTCCTGTGCGGGTGGACGCACATTAAGCATTAAACTAGCGCACTTTAAGTACATAACACACGCACATTAAGCACACAAGCCCACACACCTTAAGCATAACACACACGCACATTAAGTTTCAACAACTACTCACATTAAACACAAAATCCACGCACCTTAAGCACAAGACTCACGCATCTTAAGCACAAAACTCATGCACCTTAAGTTTTAATAACAACTCACATTAAGTACACACCCACGCAACTTAAGCACAAAACTCACACACACACCCACGCAACTTAAGCACATAAGACTCATGCACCTTAAGTACAAAACCCACGCACAACCGTACATGAGACACTTAACCGCACGGAAACTTAATTATATATATATATATATATATATATATATATATATATATATATATATATATATATATGGTTCGTAAGCGATCCGACAAATTACGAATCAAAAAATTTTAGAGTCAAATTTGAATTGATTACTTAACTAGTTGGTTTGAGTTTGAATTTTGCACTCCTAACAGGGCGTTTGTTGGAGAGAATTTAAATTTCATTCCCACTTAATTCTAAAGGCCACTAAATTCATTAGTTTGGTTGGAAGCTAAGGAATTGCAATTCTCTTATTTTTATGGAATTAAAATCTCATGTCTCTCCTTGGGATTTTAATTCCATGAATTTTGGGAAGAAAAAAAGATAATGATGAGCTGGACAAAATTATCATCTCATTTTTTAATCTAAAATTGATGCTTGACAACAACAATGTGCATTTTGGACTTAATACTACTTATTCCCTTTCAATTCTCATGTATACCAAATATTGAAATTGAAATTCCCAGTAATTTTATTCCTGCAAACCAAATAGTGGAATTTAAATTCTCACTTTATTCCTAGTAATTCATCTCACATAGAATTATAATTCCTTTTTCACGTAATTCCTTACTTTCAACTAAACGCCCCGTAAACGAAATTGTACATTTATTATAGGAAATTGAGAACTAATAACACGATGGCGCAGAATTTATTATAGTGGGAGTGTGCAACACAGGGCAAGTAATGGTGTCATTAGTTACGTGATTGTGGGTCAAATTTAGCAACGCCACAAGTGACGTGCATTCAAAGCTTTCAATTAAAAATTAAAAAAGGAAAGATACTATACGCGTTACGTCGTGACCTGCAAGCCAAGTAATGTGAAAACACGACTATCAATTATTTACACTCCATAATAATGTACTCCGTATCTTGTTGTGAAAAAACTAAAAGGTAAATCAGCTTTTACAAATAATTTTGATTTGGGGATAGTTCTGAGAATGGATATTTAATTATTTACAGTGACTGAAGTCATTCGATTGCATGGAGATAAATCTTTAATAGCTAATATTTAATTAATAAACTTACATTCAAAATATATTATGTTTTAATAATACTCTCCCAATCTAGAGGTCTCATCGTTGGCTTAGTTAGCGAGAAGTAATTAAGTCAAGTAACTGTTATTTAGGGCATATAAAAAGTTGTTATTTGTTTATAGAACATCTCATTTATGATAATTTGGATGCTTTTGTAATTTCTGTATTATCAATGAACAATTTCAATAGAGAGAAAGAATACGAGCTATCTAGTGCCCCATTTCATACTCTTGTGTTTTTATATCTTTATTCATCTTATAGAATGCACTAATTAATTCTTCAAAAAATATAGTTAGGTGGATGAAATATAATTTTTGTATTAAAATTTCACAAATTTTATTATCACCAATATTTTATTGGCCGAGCTCATTTCACTTGACATATAAGTGGAGTTTATCCCAATACAACCCTCATATCAAGAAAAGTGAACTAATATAAAAAAGAAAAATACTTTCTACCACTCCTAATCTTTCCTATTTTGACATAACATATAATCATTGGATGTTATAAATTGATTAATCCTACTAATTTTTAGTAAGTAAAAAAATAATGTATCTAATTAAATGGTGTTATGTTATGAAGATTCTTTTTTTTTTTTTAAATAGTAAATTAAATAGCGTTACACACTTACACTATAAAAAATTAAATGCTATCAACCACCTAACAACTAAAATTCAATATAAATAATATATAATTGGAATAACGCAATCCAACGCCAATAACTCATCCTTAATCCAGGTGTGCTAAGTATTGAGTAGTCTAGAAGGCCACGTGTCAGATCACCCCAGTCGTGTTTTGCAAGAAAAAGTAAAAAAAGAAAGTAAAGCATACACGTAGACGTCGCTGGCCTACTACCGTAATTAATAACGTCAAAACCGTCAAGTTGTAGTTGTTAAAGCCATGAAGGCTGAACTGTCTCTATATATATATTGCCCTTCTCAACTGGCAAGACAACCATCCCCATCTCCCAAAAATATCACACAGAAAACAGAGAAAAAAAAATATAATGAATACAATAGAAGACGGTGTGTATGTGTGCCCCAGCTTCAACAGCTACTCTTCAAATAGATTACCTGAAATTGCAGCTAAAATCTCGGATGAATTTAAACAGGGGAGATCTAAGGAAGAAGAGCACGGCAATGATGAGTTTGAGTTTACTCTGGCGGAGGAGTTCTTTTACGATGGTCAAAGTGGTCGGTTTTTTCCCGTTTTCAACCGAGATCTAACGGTTAATGGCGATTTTTCCGGCCTGCAGGGCGGACATGATGAGGTTGATAGATCGATTTGCATTGCGTTGAGCAAGTGCTCCGTAGACGATAAGGAATTAGATCGTGATCTGCTGCCGCCGCCGCCGCCATCGCCGTCGTCGTCATCATCGGAAGAGGATGAATTGGAGAGTGCTCCTCCAGGAACGTACTGTTTGTGGAGGCCGAGTTTGAAGGAAACGTCGCAGGGTAAATGTAAGAAGAGCAGTTCGACAGGATCAACGTCGTTCAAGCGGTGGAAGCTTCGAGATTTGTTGCCTCGGAGTAACAGCGAAGGAAAAGACAGTTTTGTATTTCTAACTCCAAAAAAAGGAGGAAAATCGGAAGGAAATCAATCCGGCAAGGTCTTGAAACTCACCGGAAAATCGAAGGCAAAACAAATTACAGCCGGAGATAAGGCGGGCCGGTCGCCGTCGATGGCCGCTCACGAGGAGTTTTACGTGCGGAGCAGGGCAGCCAAGGAAACATCAAAAAGGAAATCATATTTGCCGTACAGGCAAGACCTGCTAGGGTTTTTCGCCAACGTCAACGCTTTGGGTAGGACTTTACCTTAGCTTCCTTCTAAGTTCCATCCATGCAAACTCAGAGCTCTTAAAAAAGTGAATAATTTAAGTCAGAACCTCGATCACTTTGATCCAGGGATCATGTATTTAAAAACCTCTCCGTATATTAAAAGTTTAATTAAATGATGAAGTTATAAATTAATGCCCATTTTTATTAATTAATATTTGTTAATATTATATATAAATTTCAATTAAATTGAGCTAATAAGATAAAAACATGTAAATTGTGAATCATATCATAAATTATGAATACATGACTTTTAGTCACCCAATCAATATATTAGTTTGATCACACCCACATGGGCAGCTCAGTTGGTCACAAGTTAAGGGTGGTCACAGAGGTGAAGCTTGCCGGGCGTGGGTCCTTGGAATTTACATCTTCTAAATACTCTGTCGAGATTTGATCATCCCTATATAAAAATATTTGACCGTATAAATTAAATCTTGATTAAAGAATTTTAGTATTATTTTAATTAAAGATACTACGTATTATTATTTCAACCAGACATGGTATCTTGCCAAACTTGGTTGGTTCAAATCTAACAAATTAGTGGAGCATTAACAAATAACATTAGGTTAATAGATAAATATGACACAATTTTAAATATATTTTTGACCTGTTCGGATCAATAAGTAGATAGTGGAGGTTGGAGACTTCATCATATGACTGTTGTGGGTGGTGGAAACTGGAAAGTGACAACTCTGTATTTTTATAGGCTAACTGATTAAATATTAATTTATTGAATCATTAAAAGACATGTTGAAAGTTCCAATACCGCAATACGAAATATTATATTTTAATGAGAGTTTTACTGTTGAAAATCCCACTCTCAACATCAATATAAAACTTTTCAAAAATAGTATAAAATATATATTTGTTTTCAAAAAATAAAAAATAAAAAATAATGAGAGTTTTACTGTTTGTCACACCAAATATAGCAAATACGAAAGGAGCTGAGGTAGTAGAGCAGTCATCCTTCAGCCTTCAATTCTTCCATTATTATTAGAAAGTATGTTTCAGGGAAGTTCACTTCATAACTTAGATATAGATAATTTATCTATATTGAATTATAGTATACGAGAAATCTGACATCGTATAAGCGGAAGGGGTAGCTGTGTTGATCTCCAGCTATATCTGATGTTCTTCTTGTGCTATCTCTTGAACAGTAGATCGTTAGCCATATTTTGTCTCATATTGACTCAGAATTACAGATGATGTATAAGTGTCTACTGAGCAGTATGAGTACCGTAACTAAATGTGCTATATCAATTTTATGTTAAGCACAGAGTCGGGTTGAATAACAACTTCTAGTTATTCAATCCAATCAGACGTGGTCAACTTGCACCACTTCATTGAGGCCCTAATATATACTCCGTAATATATAATATATAATATATTATTAAAAAAAATCTTACACATTAATCATTAAAAGATCATAAAAAATAAATTAATTTATATACCGATTTAAACCGGAAATATTAATCGACCACTCCCCACTTACCCTTTGCCTTCCTTGTTTATTATGTTAGGTGACAACTACTCTTGCTTAATTAGTAGGATAAAGAGAGTTTCCCTTTTCATTAATATTTGTAGCAAATTACATATTAAATTATAAATTCTTCTATATTGACATTTTTTGGTGGTGTAATACTTCTATTCCAACCACAACATATATATATATATATATATATATATATATATATATATATATATATATATATATATATATATAAACAGGACTTCTCGTGCAGTCATTTTAAACCATTAGGTATGCATAAATATACCTTCAAAAATGCACAAAAATAAAATGTCACAAAATGCACCACACACCAAAACAATATATCACACATAATAGTATATTTTCGAACACTATGTAGTTCATTTATATATACCTAATGGTGTAAACTGCACACACACACACACACACACACATATATATATATATATAGTATACAGCAATACTTGCTATGACGTAAATTTTCTTCTATCAAACAGTTCACACTCTTTCAATGAATTATATTACATAATATGCTCTTATAGTCTTATTTTACTCCAAAACTCCTGTTGTATTCACGTTAATTAATGGAGATAATATTATCTCTATCTCTATATATATTAAATCAAAATAATTAGGGAAAAATTTTTCACTCCAAAGTGTGAAAGCATTTATTGTATTCACATTAATTTATAAACTCATGTAATTTTAATTATAAATCAAATCAACATTAACATAATTATTAAATTAGTAAATATAACATGTCTATATTATTAATTTAGAAAATATTACATATATTATATATTATATATTATTCTCTATCTCTTCTCTTCTCTATAAATAAATCATCATTCATAGGACTACAACTAATACTACAATTATGTCTTGGTCGTGGCTGGAATTGGGAGGATGGTTGCGACTAGAATAGGGAGAAGAATATTTATGGAGTTTAGATCTCTTATAGAGCTTTATACCTTGCGATCTGGGGAAGATGAATCAAGAAATGCACAGTAGACATGAATAAAAAGTTGAGGATAAAAATCATACCTTGCTTCTGAACCTGGGGCTTTGATTCTTGGAGTTGTTCTTTCTTAGAAGCAGAGGCAACTGTTAGCCATAGCTCATGAACGTGAAGAAGAAGAATCACCTTACGTAAAAAGACTATTTTGTCCACATGAATAAAAAATTTAAAAATGTTTAAATTTTTCCGGCCAATTTCCACCGGTGATTTGGCCGGAAGGACCAAATCTGCTAAAAAAAACATAGTTAAAGGACTAAATTGTTAGTTTTAAAAGTCATTGAGTAAAATTAACACGCCCCCTATAGTCATAGGACCAAAAGTATAATTTGCTCATTTGTTAAATTAATAATAGTTCGTGCATCGCACGAGACACTTACTAGTTTATAGAATTATAGAGAGTATAATTAGGGTGTGTTTGGTTCGTACATGGGAATCGGAAACGGAATGGGAATCAAATACTTTATAATGATAATGAGTTTTGGTGAAAGTATTTTGCGTGTTTGGTAGTAGGGTGAAATTGTAATGATTACCAATATTGTTGTTTGGTTATGTATGATCCTATAATGGGAATAAAGATTTTAAAACTACATGAACAAAAAATTAAGACAATATATACTATATATAAAAACAAAATCCTGAAATTTTAACTTCCCGCCCAATTCCTAAAAAATCTCACTTCCTATAAAATATATTGATTTCTACTTTCCATTCGTACAATAATTCTGCGTTAAAATTATATTCTAATATTATAAAATAGTGTAATACAATCTATACTATATATAAAAACAAAATCCTGAAATTTTAACTTCCCGCCCAATTCCTAAAAAATCTCTCTTCCTATAAAATATATTGATTTCTACTTTCCCATTTGTACAATAATTATGCGTTAAAATTCTATTCTAATATTAACCTTATAAACGCCAAGTCTCGCCATCTCGCCTCACAGGAGTCACAGCAGCGCTGGTCTAAACAAGATTAGAAGAATAAGACACAAAAAGACAGAAAAGCCCCTCTAATTCACGGTCAACAAACGGCTTCATTGACTGAGGATCAAAACTGTCCAACGACCAATAACAGTGTCTACTAAGTGGCAATTTTTGTTATGGAGGATGAAAATTGTCGATGCCTCAAATAAGTCTAGGACCAAAAATGCCATTAACTCCGGAATACAATACAAGAATATTTAATTATGGTTATATTATTATTGTGCCTCACGACCATTATATACTAACAGTACTTGAAAAGAAACTAATAATAATAATAATAATAATAATAATAATAATAATAATAATATAAGTGGTAATAATAATATCTAAAAGTAATTAAGTGTTAATAATAATAGTAAGAATATTAACGTAAGTGTTGTAACATAGAATAAATTGTAATAATTAATAACTATAGTCTAGGATTAAATTTGGAATTGTCAGGAAAGATAAACGACCTCTGGTGAAATCAACTCTTAAATAATTATATATCGATTTAAATATTCTTAATACATTACAACAATTCCATTTCATGCATCGCACGGGTGAAAATACTAGTTTATTCTAATATAAAGACATCTAAATTACTAATATGAACAAATAAAAATAAAATAAAAATCTAAAAACACTAATCTAAACTTAAAAATCAAATTACCAATTAAGATGAGAAATAATGGAATGAAACCATTATTTTATTAGAGGGTGAGTTTTTCAATTAAAGGGCTAATCAAATCACATAATAGTACTTTAGAAACCTATCAACCAAATAATAACAATGACTTTAATTCCATCGCTGATAGCTAAATTCATTAACTAAACACGGGTAATGCTTAATTATTGAAAAAGAGAGAGAGAGAGAGAACAAAATATCTTCAAAGCTTCTAGAGTATGTGACATTGTACTACTCTAAGCAGTCTATTATGCATGTTCGAGGCTTGCGAGTAGTTGGAGCACTCTCCTGGCTCCTGTATTATTTATTCAGTGTTTGCTTTATAAAGAATGTGATTGGTAAAAAATATTATGATATTTTTATAATTATTGTTAATTTTACTTTACAAATTTAAACACTTAACTGTAAATGCTAGGCTCCAAGCAGTAAAAAATGAACCACTAAATAAAATAAAATTAAAAACTCAGTCATAAACTCTAAAATTGAAACTAGTGCAATGCACTTTCGCATGTTTGTAAGTGTACTTTTTAATACTAAATATAATGTTCAAACCTGAAAAATTCTAAGAAGGGTAGATTTTAGTGTTTAAGTTTGCATAGTAAAGTTTGGTGATAATTATAAAAAGAGCAAATACCAATTTTGGTCCCACGAGTATTAGCAAAATAACGGTTTTGGTCCACATGTTTAATTCCTACCAATTTTCATCCATGACTATTGTTTTAGTACCAATTTTAATCCATGACTATTATTTTAGTACCAAAATTCATCACGTCGGTCACCCATCAATTTAAGACATCCCGAAATTTAAAAATTTTAAGAGTATTTTCGTCCTTTTCAACTTAAGATTCCAATTTGAGCATAAATAAATGAATTTAAGCCCTAAGATCGATCTCAATTCGCAGTTCTAGATCTCCTCCCCATCCTACCTTAATTTGAGGAAGAAAACTGTGAATTGGGATAGATCTTAGGGCTTAAATCCTTTTATTTATGCTCAAATAGGGATCCTAATTTGAAAAGCACGAAACTACCTTTAATAATTTCATATTTCGACATGTTTTAAACGAATGGGTGACCGGCATAATGAATTTTGGCACTAAAACAATAGTTATGGATGAAAATTGGTACTAAAACAATAGTCGTGGATGAAAATTGGTATAAATTAAACATGTTGACCAAAACTGTCATTTTGCTAATACTCATGGGACCAGTATTGGTATTTGCTCTTATAAAAATGTCACTATATTTTTTTTAATATGATTTGGTCCGTTCGATTTTTTAGATGTAAAACTGGGATTGGTTCTTAGTTTTCTCCAAATAACTAGCTTATTACGGAGTATATAATAAAAATTAAAAAGAAATTGTGTACATTTCTTGTTATTTTTGTAAAGTGAATATTTAATCTCAATTCAAGTACCACCCTCAATCTCTTGTAAAACAAATATGGAATTGTATCACCCGACTTGTGTGACGGTAGAATTGAAGGTTCAATCAATACTGGTATGACTGATACTCCATGCAAATTAACCTGACAGGTTTTAGTTGCTGACTATATATCCTCTTCAATTCCTCACATTATTTTTTTTGGTTGCCCAAAAGTATCCCTCTAGCCGATAGCCAGAAGTAAGTGGTAGGGGACTGACCAAATGATTTGCTCCATTCACATGGGTGAGGATCGAACCCCCAACCTCATGCATAAAAGACAAGGTGCTGAACCACCACGCCAATCATGTTGGTTAATTCCTTATATTATTGTTGGTTCTTTTTGTAATTTATTTATGCGTGACAGACCTACCCTATTGGGTAAATTGTACGTTCCCAATCCCAATTCCTTAATTGTAACAAATCATTATGTTCAAAGCTGTGATGAGAAACTAAACGTACGTTTTTGGCCATTTAATTTTGTCCTCATTATATATGGCAGAGCATGAAAACAGTATGACAACATATATTCTTTCATTATTTTTATCTATTTTTGTCCCAACCTAAAATTAGACACACATGTACTGCTTACTTTACTTTTATGAGCCACGAGAAGGCAATGTAATGCACGACATGTCGAAAACATGACAGAACGATGCTGACATAATGAACCATCCGATCCAGCTTGAAGCTCCAAGACATCTATAAGGTACAACTAACATGCATGAATCGAATTCTTTTATGGCCGAGGTTTCAAGCAGATCAGATGTCTTGAAACTTGAAACTCCCCCTCTTCACCTCAATTCGATTTCAGCATTATAGGTAGTATGTACTGATCTGATATAAATGCCAGAAGAAGACTGAAGAAACATATATGGGTTTTGTCAGGGATGAGTATAACCCAGCTAAGTTGTCAAATAAGGGAATCGTAGATTGCCAAGTTCTCGATCAAAATTCGATTTGGTTTCAGTCTGATCACGACCCACTGTTTGAAAGTCTTGCGATTTCTGATCAACAAAAGTTGGACCGTAAAAGGCTTTTTAGAACGGTCAATCTTCCGACCAAAAGTACTTTTTGGTCAGGTTATCGGGATGGTTTGCTACCAATGGATCGGATGGAGTTAGATGTATACAGTACATGTATATTTAATTGTGAACCTTTATTATGACAGACCAAGGAGCATGATATGATTTGAAGATGAAGATTATTCAATTTTGAGTCGGTCATATGTGGAAAACTTATGTGTTTGTTTATTTTGCCGTGAGCATGGATTGAAGACGGTGCATCTCAACATCATATCATATCTACCATTATTTTTCATGCAAATTCATTCAAGAAGATAAGTTTAAGGTACTATATATGTCTATTGTTACATTATTATTTTTATAAGTCCTACATTATATTTTCGATCAAGATGACCTATATAGGGGGGGTTTAATTTCTTCTATCATATGCTTGTGTTCTTGAATTTGTTGATTTATCATTTTCACTTAAAATAATGGTAGCTAGTTTTGTCTCCCTCACAGAATTCAAAAAACAATAAATCTTTGGTGCCCATCCAAGTTAAAAGCACAAGAGTCACAAAAGCAGATAAAGTAATCCCCAACAAGTGATCCCCATGTAACTTGACCATAGTTTGAAGATAGAAGAAGATAAGACTACCTTACCTTATCTCCATTGGTTTTCCTTTATTTTGGTTCATATATTTTTAACGTTGTGCATACGGCTAGCTTAGTAACACTTTTACAACCTAATAAGAACGCGAATTGCAAGGTTTGCCAAAACCATTGGGAAAACATTATTAATTGCATAATAATAATAAGAAACTAGTTAGGGGGAATTGTTGATTTGCAGAAAATTTTAAACTAGAAAATATTTACTTAATTACATATCAAGTTTAATGCATGGGAATCATATATTTTAAAACTTTGAATATTAATGCACCAAACACTTGTAATAATCTCAATAATCTAACTTAAAAGCTTTCCATTCTCAACTCCTAGCTATAGTAACTTTTGAAATTTCAACTAAATTTCATCATTCAGCCAGGTGTGACACACAAAGTCTTTAATTTGTACTTCAAATAATCCTATATTTTTTAATCCCAATTTATTCAAATTATAAAATGAAAAAAAAAGGATTTTGCCTAGTGTACGTTGAACAAAGCGTTGGATGACGAGGGAAACTTGTTGTCATTACCTAAGGTTACGTTGTGTATTGGGTAAAAGATATGCCTTGTGACTCTAGTCTGTAAAGAATCACAAAGAGGTAATAAACCAGGCTAAGTTACCCCTAACTACCTGACTCAAACCAAAAAAGACAACTAATAGATGGCTCACTTAGAAGTGAAATTTGTAATTTTATAGGCTCACTTAGAAGTGAAATTTGTAATTTTATAGTTAATAAGTCAATAGTATGACCACTTTGGCTGGATTGCCCGCGAGTGATATGCATTTTGAGGCGGGAGAAGCAGCTAGCTAGCGTTGAACTAGTGGCCAAGCTTCTAATTGCCATTTACTTGGGGAGTGGCGAAAGGCCATCGCATGCATACGACAAAATGTAATCAAAAAACATTATTAAGAAAGATTTTTAATTTTTTGTGTATGTGTAACCAGGACTATGTGGTCTAATGGTACTTGGGTTGGACTTCCATTTAGAAGATTGTGAGTTCAAGCCTCAGTGGAGGCGTTGTGTTTCAGTAGATTGAGAAAGTATATGAACATCTACTATATTCTAATAGAGCTAGAAATTAAAAGAGTTGGAGTGATGGGGAATATAATATATAATTCATGTATATATGCATGCATGGGCGAATGGAATAAAATGAATCTCCAACGCCCAATCCTCATCTGCAAGGGTAGAAGCTCTCCTTCGCCCACCTTTCGCTTTCATTATCGATGGAGCGTAGCAGAGCAGATTATAATAGATATGATCTGATCGATGACCGCTTAGCTAGGTGGCACGCAGCACTACAAGTATAAACTCAACCACTATAAAAGACTCGCCATTCCAAATCCCCTGTGGCGCAATGTCGACTACGGCTTTGATTAACGGCTGCAGCCTTAGCTCTCTCTCCCCCGCCGCCCAGCCTTCTCGCAAACTACCGTCTTCTTCTTCTTCCCGTTTCGCCGTCTCTGCCACCCTCAATACGCCCTCCTCTTCTTCTTCCTCTTTTCCCAGTCTTATCAGAAACCAGCCTGTTTTCGCCGCCCCTGCTCCCATCATCACCCCTACCTTGGTACGTATGTATATGTATATACCTACCTACATTATCATATTATTATTACTAATTAATTAATTTGCGTATATATAATATGCTGTTATAACAACAAGGAGTTAGGCGGTTAGTTTGTTAGAACCGTACTGTATAATATGCTGTTATATGCCTATATGCTTCTAGCTTCTTCCATTATCTTCTTTGGGTATCACAGAACGTACTTAAATGGGTTACTTTTGCAGAGACCAGACATGGCGAACGACAACTACGAGGAAGCCATTGAGGCTCTCAGAAAGCTTCTCAGGTCCGTTAGTTCACCGTTAACCAATCTATATATATACCTTAGCAATTAAGCTTCCTTCTTATATATATATAATATAATAATAACGTAACGTGGTTGCATGCATGCAGTGAGAAGGAAGAATATGGTCCAGTGGTAGCTGCAAGAATCGATGAGATCACTGCCCAGTTGCAAACATCATCAGCTGACAATGCCAAAATTTCCGATCCCGTCGAGAGGATCAAAGCTGGCTTCATTCATTTCAAGAAAGAGAAATACGAGTAAGCTAGCTAATAACTACTATACACACCCTACTATTCATATCATATATATAATCTTTTTTTTAATTATTGAATAATTATATTTAAATGTAATTTTTGTAGGGCAAACCCAGCTTTGTATTCTGAACTTGCCAAGGGACAGAGCCCCAAGGTATATATTATATTGTTGTAGGTAGACGATGTGATGCACTAAACAACTAATAGCTAACTACATATATGACGTACTAATATTACTTATTACATGCATAATAATAATAATAATTATGGATTGGCAGTTTATGGTGTTTGCATGCGCGGATTCTCGGGTGTGCCCATCACACGTGCTGGATTTCCAACCCGGAGAGGCATTCGTGGTCAGAAACATTGCCAATATGGTCCCTGCCTTTGATAAGGTATGAACAGATAAATATATGGGAATGGATTATATTATTATAGAAAATGCTTATGTTTTTACATATTAGAATTTCTTCATAATATAATATTACTTAATTAAAAGGCCTATTAAGGCAGTAAAGAAATGAGGTGAAGGGGTGTCTAGCATTACTCTTATATTATATATGTTTGACGAGAAATGTTAATTTTCAATTTTGTTTGTTTGTTTGTTTCAGTTGAAATACTCAGGAGTTGGAGCTGCAATTGAGTATGCTGTTTTGCATCTTAAGGTGCAGAACATAGTAGTGATTGGGCACAGTGCCTGTGGTGGCATCAAGGGGCTCATGTCTTTCCCTGACAATGGACCAACTTCAACGTAAGATAGATATATCCAAACATTATATATATTATTCTTCATCTTTAATTTCTGTTTACACATTATATTATAATATATAAATGTATTACAGAGATTTCATCGAAGACTGGGTTAAAATCTGTTTACCTGCCAAGCACAAGGTCATAGCCGAAAATGGCAGTCTACCATTTGGAGATCAGTGTACACTCTGTGAGAAGGTGAGTGTTCCTCTTCCATCTGTGCATATTATATTACCATTTCCTATATGAATATATAAAGGGTTTAAATTATCAACAACTTCTGCAGGAAGCGGTGAATGTGTCGCTGGGAAATTTGTTGACATATCCATTCGTGAGAGAAGGTCTGGTGAAGAAAACCCTGGCATTGAAGGGAGGTTACTATGACTTCATCAAAGGAGCGTTCGAGCTGTGGGGACTGGACTTCGGACTTTCTCCTCCACTTTCTGTATCATAAACTGGAATGTGATCCTTTTGAATTGAATAATTGCTTCTTCCACCTCCCTAACATTTTCCCTCCTCCCATCTCCATCTCCCCTACTGTGTAATGCTGTATCCGGCGTATATAAAACAGAGCACAAGTATATGAATAAAATTTCGAGATTCCTACCGTTTAATAGAGTCTTGTTTTTGGGTGTTCGATCATTTCTAGAGTGGCATTGCATAATGTTATGCTGATCTAATATACTCACAAAACAATCTGTTCAGTGAAGTGAATTGTTGATCTTCTATCAACTATAACTACTGCAAAGATTGGGGTTTACCAGTGAGAGATCAGAGAACACACTACTGCTGAATTATAAGAAAATTTCATTTGATTTTATGGTATTGTAGCACAGAGATGCAGCAAACCTGACAATAGTTGAGATTTCGGGACTACAAAATTTTTTCCAAGGGTCGTAGTTCCCTTGGAACGCCATCAAAATTCCCAGAACTTACATCAGACTCAAAGACTGGCCTCTCTCCAATTTTCCATTGTATGCCTTCTGCCAGATGCTCCTTATTAGGGGTCAGCATTACAAAGTTGGGATCGGCCCTCTCATAACTGTGTGGCGATTATTAAAAAAGAAATTAGAAACCCAGATCTCAAGAACGTATAATTCAGCCTACCATTGCAATAACATGAGATAGAGGAAACTAATTAAACCAACCTTCCTTCTCTGATACCGTCAACACAAATGCCAAATCCAAAGGATGTTTGTCCTTTGGTGCGATCTCTGATAGCTGCCAGCCAGCAGAAGCAATACTCAGACAAAAATTTACATAAATAATCGGTGGGGGGGGGGGGGGGGAGGGGGGGGTGGAGAAACAAGGAATGCACAATTAGCTGCCAAATATGAAGACCTCATGCCAACTTATTTATCCTAAAATTGGTTCAAGATACCCCAATTACTATGTTACACATACCTGATAAGCTGAACGTGAAAGAAGGTTTCCACCATGATTTAAATGCTAAAGCTATAGATGAGCTTAGAGGCCCCACTTTTCCCTGTGAAGATTATGAAACGAGTTTTATCCACAGAAACAGGAGAGAAAAAGAAAAAAAAAAAAAAAAAAAAACACAGAGAGAGAGGTGATCGATTACCTTCAGCAAGAAGTTTTTATTCGCTTGCCAAGATGCAGCAACTTGAAAGGTAGAATCTTGGATACTATTTGATGATTTTTCATCACCAACCCTTGAGCAAAAACATAAATCAAATAAGCACTCATGTCTTTAAGTTAATTACATTTTACTTGAGCAAAAACATAAATCAAATAAGCACTCATGTCTTTAAGTTAATTACATTTTACTTTAACACTATTCAAGAATACCTCGACTGCAACTCAAAGCCAAAGTCAATATAGTTTGTTATTCCAACCACTTCATTTTCCTCAAGTGGATTTTTCACCTACAAACGCGAGAAAAGTATTTTAGTAATATATTCATGTACAACTCAAGGAACAAATATCACATGAAAATAAGCATAAGCAGTAATACATTAACTAATAAAGCTTTTGTCTAAAGCACATTGCAATTATGTCAATCAAGAATCTAGATATCTGACATCAATAATTTCATGTAAATTTGATTTGAAGCCTAACACAGAAGAATTTCGTTACATTTATCCGCAATGCTACATGAATACACAACAAAGTACATCAATAAAAGCCAACTTTTTTACTCTAAAGTTAGAGAGAATGAGAGGACAACTAAAGCACATACCCGTCTTTGAACCACCACATGTTGGTAAAACGAAGCAATAAACTGCATTGCAATTCTTTATGTTAAAATCAGGAAAAAAATATAAAATTATAATGCATGAAGAATGGGAAAACTATTAAACCTGTGAATTTCTAGAAAGTTCCAGACCAAAATTGAAGGATGGGCTCAAAGGACTTCCTGATCCGACTCCATAGCCAATTGCACAGCTCCAATTCTTTAAGTTCTTATACTTCTGCACATCTTTGCTTTCAACTATTTTGAGTATCACACCAAAAAGAGTGGAAAATACCGATTTTCATAAAAATTAGTTGATTCTTGAAACCTTTATGGAAGATGAATTTAAGTATTAAAATCACATACACTGAGGTTCATACTGCACCCCTGCAGTTAACCTTCCGATCTGGCTCACCAACCAGGCAGTTTTAGGA